GAAATATTGTGTTGTGAGCTCTTTTTTTTTTTATCTTGGACGGAAATTACGAAAATTGCTGTTGCGAAAAATGGCAAACAAGTACCAAAACATGGCGGAAACTTATTTTACTTTATCAAGGTTTTCTTCTTAAAATTATCAAGATCAATAACAGTTACATTGACATGGAGAGAAGAATAAAACCAGAGTTTTTTTTTTCCTTTTGGGCTGTAAAATATACCCAGCACTTACTGTTCGACATATATTACTTGCTTATTTTTTCAAAGTTTGCTGAGCTTCATGCAGTTTGGTGTTGGTAAAACAGGGACCTGTTCTGTTAAGTTACACGAGGTACAGCATAACTGGAAACTGGAGGGGGGAGGGATTATTGATGTAAAGATCTAACAAACATACAAGTAGTTTTAATGTTGTAGACATTTCTGCTATAATGAGCAGAGCGTAGTTTCCAAAGCTCAGAAGACAGAAGAGGTGTACTTTCTATAGGTAACATGGTGTAAGAGACAAGTATTTTTTATGTCGTAAACATTTCTGCTACAATGAACAAAGCGTAGTTTCCAAAGCTCAGAAGACAGAAGAACGAGGTGTACCTTCTATAGGTAACATGGTATAAGAGACAAGTAAACAATGACGTTATGCGTGGTAACACAAACCTACAATGGCGGGTGACTAATCAAATTTTTTTAAGAAACTGGTCTAGAGGTCATGAACTTTATAGTCTCGCTCATATTTCAGTTCGAGGCAACATTTCTTATCAGTATTTCGATATGAAATCCCGTGGTAACCCGACTGACATTTACAAGAAATGTCAATGAGAAATGTGATAATTAGGTGTGTTTTTTGTTTTGTTTTAGCCATATCGAGCTGTTTGTTCATTGCAATGGAAATGTAAGCAAAAATTTCGAATATAAAATTTGTAATATTAATCTTTCTCGACAGATGGGCGTACTATATTCAACCTAGTTGTTTTAGTGTTCATTAAATTCAAGCTGAAATGTTGTTGAGGTTTAAGGATAATTTTGAGAATAAAGTGTTAATTTCTATGGGTCATACCAGTAGTATCTTGAGATGACTAGGATTGTTTTTTTATACTTGTTACGAATAACTCAGCAACAAGGCATTGCTGAAAGCTTTTTTTTTTGTTTTGCTATTAAGCACAGAGCTACACATTAAGCTGTCTGTGCTTTGCCATGCTCCGGTATCGAAACCCAACTTATAGTGCTATATGCCATCTAACTTACACCTGGATCACCGGGGTCATGGGAGCTTGAATCAGGCTATGAAAATTAAAATGAAGCTCATGTGAACTAAGGCTAGTTAGCATAATTGTTATTGAATGTAACGATAAGAATAAATAAATCTGTGAAACACATAAAGTTTATGAGAAACAAATCCGCTTGAAAATTCTTGTCTGTAATGACTCAATAATATCATATACCTAACAATCAACTCTCTGAAAACTCAGAACATGTTTGTTTGTTGTTAAGCACAAAGCTTCATAATGAGCTATTTGAACTGTATACGTCGTAGGGATTAAACTCTGAATTTTAGCGCCATATCTCCTCCAGCTTTTCTTCTTAAATATACCTGCAGACGAATTCGAAGACAGAAGATAATGTAGATATTAACGACTATAAAACTCACTAACTCCTGAACTGTCGGAAAAACTTTTAAGGAGCTCGTTTTACCCAAGCTAGAATTATATTATATTTGATTTGCTTAAGGACGATTAATATTCGTCTAGAGAAAAGTACTTTCGATATATATGATTTGATAAAAATATAGAATTCAATACTAGGAGCATTAAGTTTTTTGCAGTAAGTAATTCAATTTTCTTTAACGAATTTGGATGTGTAAACTACATTGTGAAAGATGGCTTTAGTTTTCTTCTTCTTCTTCTTATTATTATTATTCCGTAACGATTTTTTATCTACAATGAACATTCTTACGATTTTTGTGTTTTTGCTCAAATGTTGTCCACATGTATATAAGCGATAAGCTATAAGTTATAAAATGTTATATATTACGAATAAAATTGTATGTTACGTTTTATTTAAATATAGTGAAAGTATCGCCATCTCTTGAGAATTTTATGAAATAAACACGAGTGCAAATTTATTGACTATATTTGATACTTATCTACACGGAATATCACAATTGTTTTTGTCCCTTTTGTTTTTCAAGTTGTGGCATGCCTTTCCTAAAGGCAAAACTTACTCTTTTTAAATTATTATTTGTTATTTTAATATATACATTAATATATTTTAACTTTCGAGTACACTTTCATGCTACTTAAAAATACTTAATTAGAAAAATAAAATACGTAGGAGACCATCTAACACATTGTCACATTAAAGCTCTCCTTGAAGCAATAAAGATGGGCCAACTGAAGAACTTACATACAAATAACAGAGGATACCTTAAGTGTATGTGATTTCTGATCAAAGATGAAATCGTTGCAATCTAGAAATTATTTTTAATAATGTTATCTCAAAAAGAGAGGATAAACTTGAGAGTTTCAAACACAAACACTCGAAATATCTGTTATAGAAATCTAGTGGAACAAAAATGTTATACTAAAACTGGCAATAAAAAGTTTACTGAGTAAAAAAAGAAGCACAGTTTCTTAGCTAAAGGTCCGGCATGGCCAGGTGGTTAAGGCACTCGCAATCTGAGGGTCGCGGGTTCGAATCCCCGTCACATCAAACATGCTCGCCCTTTCGGCCGTAGGGGCGTTATAATGTGACGGTCAATCCCACTATTCGTTGGTAAAAGAGTAGCTCAAGAGTTGGCGGTGGGTGGTGATGACTAGCTGCCTTCCCTCTAATCTTACACTGCTAAATTAGGGACGGCTAGCGCAGATAGCCCTCGTGTAGCTTTGCGTGAAATTAAAAAAAACAAAACTGGCTATCTTTCCTCTGATCAAAGTTAGGGAAGGTGGTAAAAATACAAATGGAAGCCGGTGGGAACGATTGTAACGTGAAGTCGCAGTTATCACCTTACTCTGGTGGAGGTTCGGTTAACTAATGTGTGCTAAGTTCCATTGGTTGACCATAGAATTTTTATTTTCTTAGTATTGTTTACAATTAATATTTACTATTTTAAAACTCCGTTAACGTTAGGAAAATTGAAGTATCTGGTGAATTAAATCCTTTTTTTCTGACTTTTGTGACAAAAAAAATTTAGTTACTTTTTAAATTTTCTAGTTTTTTTTTTTGAAGTTATACCCAAAGCTACACAATGGGCTATCTGTGCTCTGTCCACCACGGGTATCGAAACCCGTATTTCTAGCGTTGTAAGTCCGCAGACATACAGCTGTGCCACGTGGGGGGCTAAATGTTCTAGTATCGTTTTATAATATGTAATTAAACCTGAAAGCTTCGTTAGAATATTGTACATTAATTTGTTAATTTGTACTTAATAATTAAAAGAAAATATTTTAACTTGACAGTGTTGTAGGAGGAAAGAGTTTTTACAGGGGAAAGAATTGTGGAAAAATGTTTATTATTCATGAATCAATTGTAGTATGTTAAACTACAGAGAGTTATCTATATGTTATGTTGATTTTAATGAAATCGTATATGTAGAGTATAATGCGTGATTGAAGAAACACGTACTCATGTGTTGAAACAGCAGGCTTAAATATCACAAAATCGCCCTATTCAGTTTTATAAAACAATCACCAAAAGTAGACACTATATTGGACACTTGGTTGGAAATCTGAAGAAAATAACTTGTTATTTGTTTCTTCTGCCAAGACATGGCTAGTCTTCATTTTAAAGTCCATTGAATTAATTGATTCAGAGAACGAGTATATTTGTGTTTTATTCTTCGTCTCGTCGTGCTTTCCTCTTCTTTAAAGCTCTTGTATCCAAGTGACGTTATCAGAGTTGTAGCCTGACACGAATCCGGGTATGTTAAAAGTTTATAACTTCTGTAAGACTTCATTTACTTTAAACAGGAGTTTGTAAGATATTATAATATTTCCAATAATACACAGTAAAACAGTCACAATAAAAAATAGTGCATTCCGACTAGTTCACGGGTGCAATAGCATTGTCAAATCTGCAAATTGTTGAATTATTACCTAAAATTGTTTCAAAATCGTTTGTTAAAGAATATACTTAGATCATTTATGTACGACGTTTTTAACGTTCTAGAAATATATATATACGTATATATAACATGAAGAACAGATAGGAACATAACCTTAAAGTAATATAATATTAGTGGAAGAGCCCCCCAGTGGCACAGCGGTATGTCTGCGGACTTACAACTTTAGAATCCGGGTTTAGATACCCGTGGTGGGCAGAGCACAGATAGTCCATTGTGTAGCTTTGTGCTTAATTACAAACAAAATATTAGTGAAAGATTAACAACAGCAGTATAATTTATTAGTACAAATGGTCAGGAAAGGTACGAAAAACTTGAAGGAGTCTATGGACGTCAAATATATAAATAACAGATCAAATAGCTTTTTTATTTTTCTAATTAATATAGTTTACTTCATCAAACATAACACAAAGTCTATAAGGAGTAAAGATAAATGTAAAAGAAAATGTGAATAATGGGCATATTGACGTAGGCACTATATTATTTCGTGTTGTTTTTAGTTTACGTGGAAATACGGGGATTTTTGGTTATTGTATGACAAGTTTTTTTAGGATGATATAATCTAATGGTGTCCAATTACAGCCTTTTATTCTTATTAGTATGTTTATGTTGTTTAAAGTAAGATAATAGACATAACGGTCTAAGCCTTTTGAAGGTTAGACCGAAAACACGCGTGTTTAAGATGGAAGGCACACACACAAAAAAAAAGCTGATGGCCGATTTCTGATAATATAGAGTTCTGAGAGGATGTTTTTACACACAGTTTGTAAATTAACTATGAAGGAAGACAAGAAGATAAGTTGGTAAACAGAGAGCTAACTGACTAGATTTTTACGGTAACAAAGAAACTGAGCTGATAAAATTGCACTTTTTTATTTCTTCTTTTCCAGAGCGTGAAAGAGAACGTATTATCATCCACATCCAGGATGTCAACGATGAACCACCTTACTTCATCAATCGTCCGTTACCATTACAAGCAGTAGTCCAACTTAACGCTGTTCCTGGCACGTCAGTCTTCAAACTTCAAGCCCGAGATCCAGACACCGACCATAATATTCACTATGTATTAGTCCGCGACAGAAGTGAGTCACTTCAACTACGATTGTTACTCATCACGGATGTTACTTTTTATGAATAATCAACGTTATCCGTTAATGAACATTCGTGTGTCATTTTAGATATACGACTTGGTGAAAGTTACTTAACATAAATCTCTTAGTTCATTGAATGTTTTTTTTTCCCATTTTGATTTGATTGATTTCCACTTTATATAGTGTGAAACGGAATTTTTAGCCCTAATTAATGCAGTAACAGTGCGCGGAATAATCGTATCAATTTAAAAAAAAACCGAAATTAACTTTTTGTGTGCTTATATTCTTTGCATTAACAAAGTTAAAAAGTAACAATAGCCCAGGGCATTTATTTCATTATTAAGATCTACATCTAATCGAAGTAAGTTAATTTGATGTGGACGAAGTTACAGAGTTTTTTCGGGTTATATTGGTCACCAGATTTAATTACAAGTGGAAACATTCTAAAATAAAATATGTGATTGAAAACTATTCATCTTATCAAGTTTCTAATACACTTAACTACTGACAATAAGTATAATTACAAACTTATTAAAATGAATTTTTAAGAATATCATATTCTAATCTTTAAAACTTCTTTCTAAATGAGTTTTTACTGTTATTATTTTCACATTAAAGCTGAAGACGTGTTTTTCTCAGACAAATCATGACTTTGTTGTTGTTCTTTTCATATTTTCCAAGAAAATACAAATTACATGAACACAAAATTATACAAGGACACTTATCCTTTGATGTTATTTTAAAGAAGAGGAAGAAGAATTTTACTTTTCGTCCTGTTGGAAAATGTGTGAACTAGTTTAGGGTGAATGTCAGAATGAGTCTAGATAAATTTGAAGTTAGGTAATGTAAGGTAGACAATGTGGGAAGGGTTAAACGTTCTTAGTAAAAGAGGTATCTACAGAAATAGAATCTCCACACACGTAAAGACAGACTCTCTATCGGATTTAACATTTATTCACAAGAGCAGATACGGGTGTTTAAAGCTCACAACGTCTGACATCTAAAACTACCGTTTACCGATTGCAGTAAGTTGTAGGAAGATTGGTGCTCCAAATGAAACACTCATAAAATAAAAAATTAAAACCCATTTCTCCAATCAGACCCCTATGGGTGATAAAACCAACTTATTTCTTGAAGTTGGCATTTCAAACCTATAATGGCCGCATGCATGTATGAACATATAATAAAACTTAAGATACCTAGGTTAAAAATCACCATTTTTAGACGAATAAAAATATTTTCCCCTCATAATTCCAGAAAAAGGTATCAGTTAAGTCAACATAAGTGCTATGTTATCATTATATATTCACGTATATTTATTGTAAACGTTTATATTAGCTGGAGGTCGATTTGAGGTGGATGAACGGTCCGGAGAGGTGAGGACTAGAGGTAAAGAACCATTCATGTTGGACAAGGAGTACGTTTTGTACATTAAAGCAGAAGACCGCAATGGAAAGATCAGTCAGTACAAATACCAGTCCACCCCTGAAATGAGACTGTCTATCATGGGAGGAAAACGGGCTCCGCAGTTTTACATGGAAAAATATGAGACCAGTATTCCAGAGAACCAGAAGAAAGACAGTCTTTTTTTCTTACTCTGATCCATCACAGCCATGACCTGTGAAGTTAACAATTAATCTTTTTTTCTTACTCTGACCATGACCTGTGAAGTTAACAATTCTGTGATAGATCAGAGTAGAAAAAAAGACTAATTGTTAACTTCACAGGTCATGGCTGTGATAGATCAGAGTAAGAAAAAAACACTAATTGTTAACTTCACAGGTCATGACTGTGATAGATCAGAGTAAAAAAAAAGACTAGTTGTTAACTTCACAGGTCGTGGCTGTGATAGATCCGGGAAGAAAAACAAACTATAAATCTTAATACCTTTTTAAAATCTAAAATTTCCATTGTAACAAAATTATAAAACAAGAAGTTTGTTTTTTATATTTTCGAAGACAGCCTCTTTCTTTACACATATAAAGCAATATAAAGTTTCATTGGATAACAATATCATTGATCTAGTTTAGCCGACTTTGTTCAAAACTGTAGTTTTCTGTTGGTTTTGTTTCGTAGTCTATGTCTGCATGTTTCATATAACACTTCACTATTATGCTTAGGTGAAGCCATGAATTCAGAATTCCTTTTTTGAAAGTAAATAGTCTTTTAAAATTCAGTTGGCGACTAATATTTTGCACGTGTTGTTTCGGTTTCGAAACGCGAGAATGGTGTTTTTTTTTAAAGGCTTTTTCATGTTAATATTCACTTTTAGAGAACATCCATTGCATGTTGACATGTGACGTGGTCAGTGTATTCTAGGAATTCGCAAGAACGAAAAACTCATAATGATTAATATTTTTTTTTCTACTACAGTGTCATCGAGGTCAAGGCCAAGTCATTCGCTGACCGTTTGATTCGGTACACTCTACGAGCTAAGGGATCGGGCGCTGGAACCTTTAATATAGATTCTTCTGTTGGTATTGTGAAATTAGCCAAGGACCTTGACTACGAAGACCTTCGACAACCCCAAACATATTTCTTAGTGGTAACTGCAACAGAAGATTCAGGGGGTTTCTCAACATCTGTTGATGTGAGTGTATTTTCATTTTGCACGTGTGTGATTTATTTTTTTAATCGATATATTTTTTTTAAATAAAAAGAAACTGGTGAGAAGATAAATGTACCAAGTGTTTTAAATTTTTTCTCCTCTACATTTAATTAATTTTCTTTGAATTTCAGATTTAGTGCTTTAACATGGCACAGTTTTATTTTGTTGAAAGCACAGTTTTGGTTTACTATTAAAATCGACTATAGATTTGTTTGTTTGTTTTTAGTTAAGCACAAAGCTACACAATGGGGTATCCATGATGTGCCCTCCACGGGTATCGAATCCCGGTTTTTAGCGTTGTAAGTCCGCGGACATACCGCTGTGCCACTGGAGGGCTCGACTCCAGAACCAATAAAACAGAAGCACAGCATAAGAACGTTAATTGCTCATCTCATTGTTTCATATAATAATGCTAACACCTTATTCATGAAAATCATAGTATCTTGAAGTGATTTGAAACAGACTTATTAATAACATCAGACCAAAATTAGCCAACTAAATAAATCAGAACAATAAACTAACATAGCAAATAATGTATTTGATTTCATAAACCAGTCTAACTATAATTATACAATGTCTTACAAAAATTTACAATAAAACAGTTATTATGGAAATTTCCAGCCGTAATCTCACTAATATTTCACAAAGTTAAGAATGGAAAGTAGTTGTCATTCGCGTTAAAAAATGACAAATGAAAACGTAATAAAACTACTTTGTATACATATAAACATATCAAACATTATAACCAACATTGTTAATGAAACTAACTTTAGTGAAAAACGAATATAACTTTACTATTTTACTAACATCTACAAATATTTCAAGCGATCTGTTTCAGTCGAAATGTAATATTTTAATTTTTATAATTATTATTCGTTTATCGTTTATTACGTGTGAAGAATCTATAAAATAGACGATATACTGATAAATGTAGCTCATAACAATACATTAGTTCTCAGGTGAACGTGAACTGGTCTTTAAAACTTCGAGCACATTTGTCCTTTCCTGTCAAGTTTGTCTGAAATGATATAGACATTCAACGTAAAAAAAAAAGTACAATAATATTTTCCGTAACAAAGAGAAAAAAATAATCACATTATTGTGTAGTACGGATTACTGATGATCATAATTTAACATTACAATGGTATATTCAACTAAGCCTATAACGTTAATAAAAATATCCGTTCCACCAATATAAGTTCTGTTTTGGTAAGATAATCGTCCTTTCAAATAAGGTTGATTTTAATTTAGTGTTACTGGTAGAATTTATTCAAAACAATTAAACCGAAATTATTTGGAAATATTACTAGATAATAAGAAAAAAAATGTATTAATATCCACAGATGATGTGCGTTTTCATGGTAAAGACACATCGGGCTATCTTCTGTGTCCAATGAGGGGAGGAATTTTAGCTTGATTTTAGCTTTGCAAATCCGAAGGCTTACCGCTGTTCCACTGGGGGATCCCAGAGATGGATAAGTAAATAATATTAGAAACCTTCACTTCTGTTTCGATCAACATTTAATGAATATGGTATTGACCTAATAGCTCATTTCACTCCGCAGAAAAGCTCATTAGAATGAAATCAATAAAATATTATCATTCAAAATTGTACATAGACCCATAGTATTTTTGATAAAGCTCAAATTCAGCCTATTTTCCAGAAAATATTGCTGAGAGATATTGATGTTAAGATTCGTTTAATAAAAAAGTGTTTAAATAAAAGTATGAGTCTTTTTTTTTAGAGGGGGGGGTTGAAACGTATCAGTCACGTGGGTCCTATATAGAAATTATTTCCCAAGCGCTATTAAGAGCGATATCTTTCTCATCTGAAGCAAAATTAAAAAATAAAATCTCCAAACGTCTTGAATGTGAAAGGAGTAAAAAGTACCAGTGAAGCTTGAGAGAGACAAAGTTAATCGCGTGAAGATTTCACTTGCATGTCACGTGTTTTTATTTGTTATTCACGCGAAGATTTTATTTGTTAGTCACTTAAGATATTTCTTGTCAATTACCAGAAGATTTTATTTGCTAATTGGTAGGCAGTTAGCAGGTTAATTGGCAAAAAATCCCGATTTTCTTTGCTATTCAACAACATATCTTACTTGCTAATCATTATACAATGTTTTTGGCTAATCTCCGTAAGATTTTTCTCATTTGTCAAGAGAAGGTTTTACTTAAATAAAGTTTCTATCTATTACTATGTAACAGAAGGTTATAAGGATATACATTTCGACACTTTCATGTGTCCTCTTTAATTTAACCTTTGTCAGTAAAAGAATCACCATCGCAGCATATTTTAATACAAAAATCCATGTTACTTCAGGGCATGAGACGTGAGAAAGGGGTTCAATTTAAAATGACTCTAAGAAGTGTTCAAGTCTGGCAATCTTTGGATTAAGGGACTTTCCACAAATCTCCTTTCGACATGATTTCTTGTATTATATATTATTTGGGCTGATTTCCAGTTGATTCGATGATCAAGACTGGTCATATGTAGCCTCCACCATAGCTGAGCGTCAAGTATGTGGACTTATAATGACAAAAATCGGGTTTCGAAACCCGTGGTGAGAGTGTATAGAATATATCTCATTGTATAGCTTTGCACTTAACGACAAACAAAGAAAAACAAACAGAAATCCTCATATGTAGAAAAATTGTATTGTTTATTTGACATTTGCGCGTCTTGTATCTAAATATCTTCCTTTTTGACCAACGTAAACACTTTCTCAAGATTGTCAATTTACTGTAAAAAAATACTCAAATTTTTATCTTGAGGTACAGACTTTCGAGTGTAAGAAATTTTTAATGGTGCTGGGATATTTATAAACAACTTTAAAAGTGTTGTCAATACTAGAGCTGTCGTTGATGCTTATTATTTAATTATATTTTCACATACAGATTTTAATGGTTACTGGTTGTTATTCCTGAAAAACTGTCTTCCTTGCCTTAAAAAATCTATAAGATTCTGTAACCGTTCGAAAATCTTATAAGTATTTTTGTTTTCTTTATCAAGATCGTGTGGTGACATGTTCTATAACCTCCTAAAAGCATTGATGTTATAACTGATGTTTTTTTACCATTTTGTAGTGGCACGCGCCAAAGTGAACATAGCTTAAAGAGGTTGTTGGTTTTCTATAGATACAAAGAACAAGTTTTGTTTCTGCTCATGCTATCAACACATCTAAAAATGGGAGCTTGATCTTTACTTGCTAATCATCATATAATGTTTCATGCTAATCAAAAGATTTTCCCAGTGATTGATAACTAAAAACATTCTGTCGACAAATAAACTATTTTACTTGCTAGTCACTATACAATATTTCTTGCTAATCACAAGAATATTTTCCCATTTGTAGACAGAAGGTTTTACTTATTAACCGCTAGGCTATTTTACTTGCTAATCACAATTCAATGTTTCTTGCCAATTTCCAGAAGATTTTTCTCAGTTCTCGATAGAAGTTTTTACTTGGTAGCCATCATAATGACACGTAACGTTTTGCAGAACCAATAATGAATATCATCACCGAACTTCATTCGTAAACAGTAAATGAAATGATCGTGGATTGTGAGATTTGTTTTTCGTTCCTTATTTCAGCTAACAATCACAGTACATGATGTCAATGACAATCCTCCACGTTTTGAACTTCCCGACTACCAAGCCCATAACGTTGACGAGGACATTCCACAAGGAACCTCAGTTTTACAAGGTGCGTGTGAACGCTGTCATTACTAGTATAAGTGAAAACAGCATCATTATTGTTCTTGAGGACCTGATAAATTTATTTGGCATTTCAATTTTTCTTTAGTTTCAACGAGTAGAAAACTGCAAATCTCATATCAAGGTAGAGAGAGTTTGTAGTCAATTTATAAGGTAAAAATAAACCACTTAAGAAATATATCTGGTTCTAAAATGTCACGGAATTGGATTGAATACGAAAGCGTGTGATGTCTAGATCACTGATGCGATACTATATACGTTATCGTAAAGGTTTAAATATTTAGAATCTTTAAAAAGTTAATAATATTCCTGGATACGTGCTAAGGGTTTGCTATTGAAATACATTTCGATGTGAATATACTTGAATTACTTTCTGTAAATTTCATGCAAGACCAACAATGAGGAGAAAGCGAGGAGATAAGTTATGTGGAAAATATGGTTTATGGGTTTGAAAAAAGGAGTAAGGCTTTTAAGTTAAGCCTTAAAGAGAAAAATGCAAACAACTTTAAAATATATGCGCGAATATAGGGCTGCTACTGTAGTGTATGATAAGGTGAAAGGAAGATGCCGACGTCTGAACTGTGTCTACTTTGTGTGTATTTTTCTATAATTAAAGCTAGAATATATAAATTAAGAAGTACAGGTGAGTTTTGAAAATATTTTCACATGCACACAAGAAATGCCTACCTACCAAACAGAACTAAAATGGTACGTTTATATAATACGAGAAAGATTTATTCTGTGTATTAGTAGGATAAATAAAAAAGAAAATCAATAAAATTAGATGAAGAATTTTTTTTAAGTTCACAATTTTGATTTTACTATTTTATATATATAATTGCTTTGAATGGCCTGGTTGGTGTTCAGTTTGTTATCAGATTCAAATATTAATATTGCTATTAAGTTTCTTAATTCTACAACACTTAGAAATAAAAATATAAGATATTTATTAGTTTCTGTATTTAGAACAACTTTATTGATTGGTATTTCTATTATTGCTAACCTAAATCCGTACTTTTTGTGAAGGTTAATTTATGTCAAGAAACGTAAACCGAGGTGCATTAAATTTAACACACCGATAATTTCATTATTTTCAGTAATCAGAATATTAATAAATAGATCGCTTTTATATCAGCTTATATGCTTGCGATAATGTCTACTTTTTTATACATACCTTAAACTATATAGGGCCAGGAATGGTCTTGGCTAATGGTTAATGTGCCGGACTGTGGAACAGAAGGCCCAAAGCTCCAATCGCAATATGCTACTGAACACACTTAGCACTTTCAGCTGGGGGAATGTTTGATTGTGAAAATCAATCTCACTTTTTGGTTAAAAGTAGCCGCGTGTGTGGCGGATGGTACTGATTGGTTTCTCCTCTGGTTAGCAGCTCCAAACTATGGATTGCTGTGCATGTATCTCAGAGATTGAACGTTTAAAGATACATAGCTTAAAGATGAATATAGCCAAATACCTCTTGGCATATTCTTACAGAAGCATTAATTTTGTTTAACCCAGATTCTTGGAATTATATCTAGATATGTGTGTATATAGACATACATAAATATAACAACTAAACGTTTTGAAGAAAATAAAACTGAAAATAGTAGATGACACGTCCACCAAGTTTAACATTATATTCCAATTAATAAACCAGGTAGGGTGCTTTAAGTGCCTTAGATACTCCGCAGACCCCAAAAATGTCCAGTGTTTTTAGTTCTTTAGTAGAGATCTTTGAACGTCTACAGTACAAGTGCTATAATTTACTGTGATTCACGCAGTAACATTATTTTCACTGGTCTTTATATAATTACTCTTTTACGTACAAATACACGCGTATAGGTAGAACTGAATACCACTATTTCTACATTACTTGCAGTGTCTGCATCAGATATGGATTCTGACAAAAATGCTGAAATAACGTACACTATCGAGAGTCAAGTTTTCACAATTGACAACAGAGGAATCATATATTCAAATAAAAGATTGGATGCTGACGTTAACAATACCTACGAATTTACTGTCGAGGCCATTGACCACGGAGATCCTCAGTTGACTGGCACAGCTACTGTTCGAATTTACACAGAAAACAAAAACGACGAATTTCCTAAGTTCAGCCAGGACGTTTACACCCCTAACGTAGATGAAAATGCAGGGCCTAATACTTTAGTAACCACGGTAGTCGCCAGTGACAAGGATGGTGATAATATTCATTTTGGATTTGTTGGAGGAGGAACCGTCTCAGGCATGTTTCAGATCGAGGAAAGAACAGGTAATTAAAGTTTTTGACTCTTTGTTTTCTTTATTCGTTTTTTTTTAAGGTTTTCCATTAGTTAGAGAATTGTTCAGTCGTGTCCCGCTAGGGGCTCTCAAGGATTGGAGAGATTATTAAATATGAAAATGACGATCTGGATGTCACAGTTTAACATATTTTGCTCTAACAGTTTTTCTTAAATGTAAATATAAAAGTCTCGTTATCGTTTAAACCTTGTGCAGCCACCTTAAGGGGAAGAAACAACAAAGTTTCAGCTTACAT